TTGATTTTTTTTTTAGATCTTGGTTAGATACAAAATAGCATTTTGATAAACTTTATGTGATTTTTGGATTTTAAGAATCAAGAGAAGGAAATATATTAGCAGATGCACTTTGTAAAACACTATGCTAATTTTTTTGTATTAGATTGTAGAACACTATGCTGACTTCCTTGTATCTTAATTTGAATAATATTGAATTAAAAGAATGAAAAGAATCTTGGATCCAAAGGTAATATATACACTTCACATTATTATTTCTTTGATATTCTAATGCTTATTACTTTATTTTATTTTTGATTTAAGGTTGAAATATCTTGAGATTTAGTGCAGATTAGGGTCATTAAGCATGATTTCTGGCAAATACAGTAGGGATGCTTCTATATTTAGAATATATTGAATTATAAGTTTATGTAATATATCACATTATTAAATAATTTTCACTTGATTTTTGGTTAAATTTGATGTTTTTCATATTTTTTACATGCTAAATTATCTTTGTAACATGGTGAATTCTAAGAAGCTCAGAATAAGTAGTTTTTTAGATATTTAAAGCTATAATATTACAAGTCTCTAAAATACTAAGAATTTAAGAATCTTTTAGCATTACTTTGTTTTTTAGAAAAGCGAATAATAACCTAAACTTTACATTGCTACCACCAGCCCTATGCTTTTTTGTTATTATAACATCTATAATAAAATACAGAGGTTTTTTTTTTTATTAAAAAAAAATTTTTTTTAATCATTAAAGGTGTGAATTGCCTAGTATTTTGTTCTTTTAAACCCCACTTAATTTACGTTATTACTTTAGTTCTGCACTTTTTTTATTATAATGATAAGAAAAACAGACTGAAGTTGAGCTAAAAAAGTATGTAATAAATATATTTTATATTTTTCATTATAATTTACTAATTCTGAACCTTTATTTTTTTTATATAGTAGAATTCATTCAACATCAAAATAAATATAAACAATGACTAGCATATAAACTACCTTGCAGTTTGGCTGCTTCGGTTTTGTTGCATAAAGGTTCTGAGTTGTTAGAATGTAAAACTAAAGAGTCACAAATAATATAGCATATGGATAGTAAATTAGCAATAAGTGTCTCCAGTTGTACAATAGTTTTTTTCTTGAATTAGTTGAAGTTCAGACATATTTAGATGATTTTTTTTATATAAGAAACATTATAATTAACTTATTATATCTGATTTTTTACAAGTTCTTGTAAATGTGAACTATTCGCAATTGGTTAAAAATAAACAAAATAACCAAAAGCAACATTTTGATTTTGAAAGTGAATTAGTTGAAAAGCATACTCATATGGAGTATACTAATAAAATAGCAGTTGAAAAAAATACTTGTGAAATTGGCATTCAAACTAATAAGATTGGTATGCAAGTTAATAAAAAGACCTGTGAAATTGGTATACAAGTATTTGATAATATATCGCATATACTTGAAAATTATATTCATTTACTTCAAGCACAATTGGATATAAAAATCAATAAAATAGAGCTCTTTAAAAACAATTAGAATATATGTATAATTATGTTATCGAAAGTTGAGGACGAATTCAGGAAATAAATTAAATAAATAAAGAGCTGTTTGAACAAAATAATACATTAGAATATAAATAAGAAAATCATTATAATAATTAAAAAAAGAATCGACTCAGTAATTCAAATTGCAAATTATAAATACCAAAATGTTTATTATGATATCAAATCATTAATCATAAATAAACAACGATTTTCTCTTAGCAGTTTATTGAATTTTGTACCTAAAACTTGGTTAGCTAATCATAACCCAATTGTTGTAAATTTTATTAACACACTTACTCATAATGATACTAATAACTGTAATTATACTTTAAACAAAAAATTTTTTAAAAAAATGATCGCTATTAATGCAATATATAAATCAAAATATAATAACTATGTGTTAGAAATAAATCTTGCTATATCGAGAATTAAATATTCATTAGCACAATCTAAAACAATTATTGATATTGATAATCATATAATTAGTTCTGAAAGTTATACAAAATTTATTAATTAGCTAGAATCGTTAGCCATCGAAAGTGAACTTTTATCTAAAGAACTTCTATTTCTAGTATTCGATAATAAACAATGAGGTTAATATAATTATCTTGATTGTGGATATAATTTGGTTATTTATTACACAGTTATAGTTTCGCTGCATTAAATATGAATAAAAATAATCAAGCTCAATTTACGATTTCTCCTTGGCTTTATGATTTACTAAATAATCAACAATGTGAAAAATTATATTATTTTACGCCAGAAATGAAGGCAGAATGTGAACACGAATTAAATATATATTTAGCTTCAATTTTAGAAGAACTTATTATTGAAAAAAAGCCAAGAAATAAATACTGTCGATCAGATTATAAAAAATCAAAAAGGCATTAGAAGCTATTCAAAATAGTGCAAAAGTGCAACATGACTAATATAGATAATAAAAAATGTATATATCTTAATTATAATGAAAAATTAGATGTATTAGCTACTTTATAGGCTGAATTTACTAATGAATTCATTCAAACTAATAAAAATATATTACAATCAGGGTCTCTAACAATAAAGACTTACAAATATACTCAATATCAAAAAACTTCTTATTCAGAGCATATTAGTATTATACAACAATCTAAATCTGATCAAGACGTAATTATTCCAGAGATATACACTATATACTAGATCTGTTAGGAATTAACCCTAATTCTTTAAATAATATTAAAAAAGTTTTAGAACATATATGAAGTATTACTGAAATCAATGAAAGAACATGAAAATAGCTGTCTGTTATTTGCGATAGCATTTCATATATCTTGCACAGAAGATTAAAAAGATTTCTTATAGCTTATATTGATTCCTAGAGCTTTGCATGAAGAAATGAATATGCTTAAGGCATTTGTGGAACTAAATTGGTATTATTTATTAACATGATTAAAATTTTTTTTTCTATAATTAAATTATATTATTCATTTTCCAGATAGATATTTTCCTGACAAGCATTTTTTTGAATTATATAGAGATTAAGGCTAGCGTTTTGTTAGTTGTAGGTATTAGTAAATTATTACCTTGTGTGATGTTGAGTAAATAGTCAGTCAGGAAAATAACTATTGTATAACAAATTGAATACCTTAGCTATCTTCTTTTCATTAGATACTAAATTTTTTATAAATATATTTTGAAGATCAATTGATATTAAACAATTTGCTACTCTTCAAGTATATAGAACTAAAAACCAACTTGAATTTTTTAAAAAATGCGCTGACTATCACAAATCATGGAACTCTATTTGCAATATTTATCGATATACAATAGCATGCGAATTATTATAGCTATACGTAGTTGCAACTGACAATCCTTTTGTTGATGGTTATCTAAATTAGGCAAAAATATAAAATGATCATATATATAAACTAAAATTTGAATAGATAAAATTTAAAAATTCATAAGTATCTAATAATATATTTAACAATTACTGATATTATAGATATTTACCTACTTCCAAGCAATCATTAACTTTCGTATAGAAGTAAGAAATAGCTAGCCATTATTGATAAATACTGCTCAATATATGTTTGTACCAATTTAGTCTGGTTATAAGCATTCTATATATTATTTGATTGAGATAATTTATGAAATACAGTTGATGCGATTAAATCCAGAGATTAAATAATATATAGAAACATATTCAGTTACTGTATTTCATAATCAGGTTATTCTAACCAGCATCAGGTCCTTAATGCCATTCTTGAAGAAGTAAATAAGTCTTTAAAAGTCTAATTTCACCTATATCTTTGCAAAAACATTGGAGAATAGCAACACAGAATTGTACAAAGTTTATAAAGATTAGTAAAATATACTTAAAATAGTTTTTTTTTTTTAAAAAAAAAAATTTTATTTAAGTTTTAAAATAATAATTAGTTGCATCATATATTATTAAATATGATCGAACATACTAATAATAAATCACTAAGAGGTTAAACACATCTTGAATGTATCTCAGAACCACAAAGATTTCAAGTTTAATTGTGAAAAACAGAATTCTTAAATACACAAAATAATAATCATGTATTTAAGAGTTTTAGAGAGGAATATTCACTTAGCGAACAACTAAAAAATTTTAGTAAGTTAGCATGCGAAAGATGAATAGCACTTATTAACAAAACTTTTAAAAATAACAAGCAAAGCCTCTTATCTTGGCTAATACCTATTACTCTACAAGAAGAAGAAGCATCTATAAGTGAAAAAATATAACAAAAAGCTAGCTTTTAATGATTATTAATACATTGTTGAATTCTATTAATATTTCTAATCATTCAAAATATCGTGGTTTACAGCAAAAAACTCGATGCCAATTGCAAGAAATCTTGCAGAGTATTAAAAATCTGCATAATAACCAAGACGAATCTGAAAATGAGATAGAACCAAAGAATAATTATGAAGAAGTAAATTATAGTTAAAGAGTATAAAAATAGCAAATTTAATAATAAAAATTATTAGAAGTTAATATAGTTTTTCTATAGGGTTGAGATGAAGCTAGCTTACAATGAAAAGTTTTTTTTATGCTTCTTTGAGTTCTAATAAAGATTATAGAGCAAGTTACTCTATATCTAATAGTGGTAGAATTATGAAATTTATAGCCTTCAACTGCGATATACCACTTAATCTATGTTTGCCGACCATGTAGCAATAGCTCAATATTGTATTAATAATAGCCTTAAATTTATTAAAAATAAAATAACCAAAAATGCGTGTTACTTACTTGAATGTTTTTTAATATTAGCTACTGCTATAAATCTTATCGTCAAGAATTATATGTTCAAAAATCAAGAATGATAAGTCTAGAATCAGGGTTGCCAATGGTGCTCAATGGTCATGTGAATGGAGCTCAAAAAACTAGTATCCATTAGCTCCATTCAGAGCTCTATTGGTTCCATTTGCAGCTCCATTGGTCTCCATTGCCAACCCTGTCTAGAATATATTTATTTGGTTATTATTGTAAGAGATTCTTTGAAGCAAATTAGAATGCTATTAAAGTTGCAAGAAAAAGATCAGAAATAAGATTAGTGTGTTCTTTAGAACTTAAAAAAGAATAACGATCTTGACAATCTGAGAATTCTGAATTCTTGCACATATGAAATTGATAAACTGCTAATGAAAACGTTATACTTTTCTCTTTATAGTGCTTGTTCTTATCGCGAAGTCAGAGAAAAAACTACCGTATGTTACTGTCTTAAGCAATTCTTTTGACGTAAAAGATTTGAAAATGTAGCATTTTTATTCTAGTACTCTGAGCCAGATGGGAAACTTTATTGACTTGTGCAGGGTAATATTGTTATTAATGCTGATCAAGTAAAAATAAAATATAGTATTTGTCTCTTCGCACATTCGTACGTACATAGTATAGTATAAAAATTTTTAGCCAATCAAATTTAATTTTATATAATGATTCTGGAACATTTCTGTGTAGCTGTACAATACAGATCATCGCTATATTAAGAAATGCCAAATTTGGAAAAATCCCGAACTGTACTACAATTTAAGAACTTTCAAACTGGTCTACACTAAAGTTTATCAAGGATATTCCAGAAATTAAATGTGCCTTAAAGTTTAAAATACTTAAATCTTTAAAACATGATATATTCAAATACTCTTTTCATATTAAAATTCTTACAAACAATCTCCTTACTATAGAAAACCTCAATATCTGTTACCCTCACCTCTATAATACATCAACATGTTTTTGATGCTTTAGTCTTGAAAATACTCTTCACTTTCTTACTTGTCTAAATAATAATATTAATCTTTCTTACAAACTTATTAATATAATTTAAAAAACTCTAACAACTCTTCAAATTTCAAATAATTTTTCAAATATACTTCTTAATATTCTACTAAATTTTATAACCAACTCTCCAAATCCACATTACCTTTCTATACTATATGCAATTACTAACACCTTTTCATCTACTATATACAATAATATCAAAATACTACTGAACAAACAAACTAATTCTTTTCTTATTAATCTCTCCAACAATCTTTTATCTTGGTATTATTAAGAGCTATAGTCTATTTATCAACATCAATAGGAATTCTTTCGAAATATTACTGCCAAAGCTAAACATACAAAATCTTATTTTTCCAACACATTTACTCCTTCAAATAATTCTTCAACAAGAATACAACCTCTAAACATTAATCTTTTTATCAATAAATGGCTCTTACAAGAATATGCTTTAATTGCATGCTTTACTTAATGCCATGACTATCACCTTAGATTTTTCTCCAACCTATCCTAGCTAGAAATTAGTTTGAAATAATTAACTATAGCATTTTATAGGAAATAGGCGGTGTAATGTCACATTGGGTGTCTTATGTAACACAACTGTAGTTTAGAAATCTTTAGGTTTAGAATTATTTTTCTATCTGTAATAAGTTTCTACTATGGCATTATATAAATAATAATAATAATAAAAATTTGTTTAATTTTATTATACAATTTATAAAATCACAATAAATTTTTTTAAAAAAAATTATATAAGTTTGCAAAATCGACATATATAGTAAATGTTTAAGTAGAATCTATTTTGTTTTTTTTACTATAAAATGTTAATTCGTGCCAAAACCGATTAAAACCTGCTTTAACTTGAAATAAAACCGGTTTCGACCTTTGATAAAACTTGACGGTTTGGCTTATCAAACAAACGCATTTATTTACTGCAATTAGCATTAGCGAATCGGAATTAGTTTTATTTTTCATACTTTAAAACAGGTTTACGTTAATACATGAAAAATCCGAAGTCTTCTTTTTCAAGAGCTTTTTTCAAAATTGAATAGTATCGGTATTATTCACGAATCCAGCTATTTATTTAATAGAGAAGGGATATTTTATGTAATAGGATATTATTTTCAGAAGCTACCCTATTAAAAATTCATATTTTTGAAATACGATAGGTTTCAAATAATTTTATCGTGGATAGTGTTGTTCCTTTAGCCTTAGCCTTAAGTCTAATTGGGCTAAATTCGATAGTTCATATCGATATGGCTAAATAACAACACTGCGACAGATCGACATAAAATTAAAGTATATACGTATCTACTTGCTCTATATGAAGAAAAGTTATTTATGATTTTTGGTTATCCAGTGATTATAAACGAATGTTTCTTCGATTCATTTTGGCGAAACTAATTGAATGGAATAAGAATCAATAGACTATTTGATAGATTTCATGCTAACTTCGACATTATGTGATTTGCCACTTTGTTCACCCACCATCCCTTTTTACTTTATAAAAGTCAGAATTTGGCTAAATAAAAATATATATTCTAAAAGTTTGATATGAATTACTTTTTATTAATATATTTTATTTATTATGTCTTACAAAATATTGAGAACCACCAAACCAGGTTTAACTTAGGTTTGGAACTTATTATATAAAACCCGGTCCTCAGGTTTTTAGTTTGGAACCTAAATGCTTTAGAAACTAACTAATTTACCATCCCTAGTATCTACCGATGGTAGGATCAAAATGATAGTGTGTGGGCGATGAACATAAAAGATGATAACATGATTTTCCACCACTAACTCCCTTGCATGGAGATATAGCTGACTTTAATGGTCTCATGACGACGTATGGATTCATTCGACTATTAGGTGAAAGTACTACCGTTCGGTCAATTCGTGATGGCGGTGTAGTGGGTGTAGAACCATGACTCATGTTGAAGTTCAAGTTTTGTTCTACGTTTACGCTAGTTTGTAAATGAGTGATGACGCGTTTATTTTCTTTCTGTTCTAATTCTTTTAAAAGATTTCTCTTTTCACGTGCTTTTTGTGCGGACCTTTTTAACAATAAATTAGTATTTGATTCAACTTCTTTTTACTAATTAAATAAATTCCTTACTTTCTCTTCGACTCCAACATTCTCTGTCGTCTTTCTTCATCATTTTTTGGTCGGTTAGGATCATTGTCCCAGCGTGATGCACGAGGCAACTCAATTTCATGTTTATCTTTAAGATGTCTACGTAAAATAGAACGTGCATTCTTGCCTTGATAAATTTTACCACATTCTTCACACGAAAATCTCTTGTATTCACCAGATGAATTTTCCTTATTTTCGTTAACCGTCTGTTGATTAATAATGGATTGTTGTGGCGTTTGTGTGAGTGAACGTAATGGTGAAACTTGTGACAAAGGTAAAAGTCTTAATGGTGTAGTTGTATCATATTGTGTGTCTTCGCTGAGTGGAAGTGTATCAAAAGTTGTTTGAATAGGTGAAGAACTAAGACACGCTTCCTTAGGAGGTGAGGTGTGAAATTCCATGGTTGAGAGTTGTTGAAGTTGAGTTGAAAGTTGGCGACGTACGGTCGTTAGTTGAGTTGAAAGTTGACGTACGGTCGTCAGCTCAGGCTGCAGCACGAGAGGTTTAATATGTATTGGACTTAGTGTTCCTTGTTCGTCATCTGTACTAGGTGATGATAGAAACCTTAACGGCGGTAGTGTCAGATCATTAAGCGAAGAAAGAGAATGGAAGATAGCGTTTGGATAGAATGTTTGTGCAGGCATTTTTCATTGGTATAGAAGTTAAAATTGCTTTGTTTATAAGATTTCGAAAACAATCGCGAACAATTTTATAGAAAACTGAAGGTCTATTTATATCTTTATTTCACTAGAACGCCAGACGCGTGAAGTTGTGTGAACACACTGATTTCATAAATACGCGTTTTATTTATGAACAGTCAGAAATTGATTATCTCTGTTAGGTATGACCGTCATTGATTGCCTCATGTAGAGCATGGTGGACAAACCCAAACCTGGTAATGATTATCTCAATTGAATAAAAAATTTAATTTTAATACAACCAATAAAAATAAGAGGTGTGCCGTTTATTACATAATTTCTTTTATTAGAATGCCACACCCAGTGTTGGCAATTTTGGCTTCCAGTGGGAATTTCTGATCTTCTAGTGAGAATTTGTAATAGTAAAAGCTCCAGTGG